TTAAAAAAAAAAAAAACTCTACTGTTATAAATAACACATTCAATTGAACTAAACTATGCAGGCCTATTTAAATATATTTACACATGGCTTATGTATATCGTATATATACATATATATTATTCATACCTTCGGTGTATAGGACGCAAGCAGATTCTGACATCAAATTTTGGGGTAAAAAAGCGTGTCTTATACACCAAAAAATATGGTAGCTTTATGGATCCATGACCTTGTCAGTTGCAGGGTCTTAATATCTTATGAGTCACATAAAACATCCAAACACAAATACCAGAACACTGCACTTAATTCCATGGATTACTGATGGGTTTCCTGATGTATTTTATGTGGTGATTTCACCCATTTTTTTTTTTTTACTCAGTTCTGTACATTGATTGTTGTAACTGGAAAAATATAAAATTACCTAATTTGATGCAATATGTTGACCCTACAAAATAGTGAATAGTAAATAAATAAGGCAGTACTTTGAGGGTTAGCCTATAAGTTTACATAATTCTTCACACTCTTCCTTAATTGTTACAAAAGTTATAAAAAGATATTTAATAAAAGTAACTACTCACTAATTTCCAACTGCCGCTGAATCCGTGCTTTACACCTCTCTCTGTAATCTGTTTGTGTCTTATTGTAGTCTGTCATAACCTCCACAAACTTTTGAGACAGCATAGAATGCTAGAAAGGTGAAAAGTCAATTATGCTTATTGCAAGTCTGTCTTATGATTTTTTTTTTAAATGCGTGTTACACAGGATTATAATATATGTTCCATAAATAAAACAATATACCTGCATTTTAGAATTTCTTAAATTCTGTATGAACAAGTAAAACAACGTACTTGAGTTTTGCGTATCCTAAAATCTGCCGACATCATGCTAGTTTGTTCTTGCTGTTCGATGTTTTGTTCCATCACTAGAATTATTAAACAAGACATATACTGAAAAACTATTATGAAGAAGGAAATACATTGCAGCTATAACTTATTCCCTTAAAAATAAGTTTACTTACTGAAGTAACTGGTTTATTTAAAAAATAGGGGAAAGTAATAACACAGTGTCTACCTTTTAACTTGGTGCGAACCTTATTGGCAGCCTTTTTTATGTCAGCCATGAGATCCTCTAATTCTTGCTTGACCTCTGTAAGTGACAACATCAATACAAATTAGGCGTCTAGTAAATGTGATGTAAGGTTAGGTTTAAAACCATGAACATCAACTGTAAAATTTGCCATATAAAGAAATACAAACACATAAAAGTAGTTTCATATTAAAAAACAACATTGTAATACAAAATTTTCAGGTTAGTCAAATTATAGATTTCAACAGGGTTTGTGGTTATAATGAAAAAATATGGAAACTAAATATTGACTTTAATTAATGTGATCGACTGAAATATTTTCTTGACCAACAGAATGAAGAACTTCTACCAACAGAGTGATGAGCTTTGACCAACAGAATGAAGAACTTCTACCAACAGAGTGATGAGCTTTGACCAACAGAATGATGAGCTTCGACCAACAGAGTGATGAGCTTTGATCAACAGAGTGAAGAACTTCGACCAACAGAATGATGAGCTTCGACCAACAGAATGACAAGCCTTGACCAACAGAATGATGAGCTTCAACCACCAGAGTGATGAGCTTCTACCAACAGAATGTTGAGCTTTGACAAACAGTGATGATCTTTGACCAACAGAATGATGAGCTTCGACCAACAGAATGAAGAACTTCTACCAACAGAGTGGTGAGCTTTGACCAACAAAATGATGAGCTTTGACTAACAAAATGTGGAACTTCTACCAACAGAGTGATGAGCTTTAACTAAAAAAATGTGGAACTTCTACCAACAAAGTGATGAGCTTTGACCAACAGAATGTGGAACTTCTACCAACAAAGTGATGAGCTTTGACCAACAGAATGAAGAACTTCTACAAACATAGTGGTGAGCTTTGACTAACAGAGTGACGAGCTTTGACCAACAGAATGAAGAGCTTTGACTAACAGAATGAAGAACTTCTACCAACAGAGTGATGAGCTTTGACCAACAGAATGAAGAACTTCTACCAACAGAGTGGTGAGCTTTGATCAACAGAATGAAGAACTTCGACCAACAGAGTGATGAGCTTTGACTAACAGAATGATGAGCTTTGACTTACAGAATGAAGAACTTCTACCAACAGAGTGATGAGCTTTGACCAACAGAATGAAGAACTTCTACCAACAGAGTGATGAGCTTTGACCAACAGAATGAAGAACTTCTACCAACAGAGTGGTGAGCTTTGATCAACAGAATGAAGAACTTCGACCAACAGAGTGGTGAGCTTTGATCAACAGAATGAAGAACTTCGACCAACAGAATGACGAGCTTTGACCAACAGAATGATGAACTTCTACCAACAGAGTGATGAGCTTTGACCAACGGAATGGTGAACATTTGGAGGGGAGGAGGAGGGACTCTAGAGAAAGTTTCTGTTGGATGCTAACTCCAGCAGTATACATACACATGCAGTGTACACAGATTATTTTACTTACTTTCATCTGTCTGTGGTGCTGACAAGATAGCACTGTGTTTCTTCTTCACTTCTTCCACATTAGCTTGTATCTTCTCTATGTTTTCTCGGATTTCTTCAACCTGTATGAAGAAAGAAATATAGAACTTGTTACAAAGCTTTGCCATGATTTTGGTTTGAGAGTAATAATCTAAAATTCAAACCAGGCTTGTTTTCTTAAGAACTGTTTGTCTTTTTTTACATTTCCATGACTGATCAAGAGGCATAAAAACAAAGAACATTCACGAGGTTAATTTCTTAAAAATTTGTGAACCTGAGCAAAACAAAATTCAACATTTGAGAATATACACTGCATTTTCTGAAGAATATATCTTGTTCTAAAACATGTTTCTTCAAACTCAATTTAAAAAAACATTAAACAATATTTAGCGGTTTCAGCAGAATTTTGTTATTGTCCAAGATCCTTTTGTTCAATAAATATTTCATAAGGTTAAAAATTAACCTAGACTTCACTTGGTTCAAGAATAACACTTCAAATATAAAGATTTCATAAATTCATTACATTAAATTCATGATGTCAGAAAAACACGTAGGTTCAAGAAGTCTTGTTACAAAAGGATAAAAACTCTAACCCAAGCGCTTTCAAAAGGTGGACCTTACTTCTTCAGGGGCAAATTGGGAACTGCTCCTGAAGAAGAAATGTCCACCTTTTGAAAGCACTTGGGTTATAGAGTTTTTATCATTTCATTAGATCAAAAATGTTCATAGCTAACTCTTTGTTATAATATAAACCAGAAAGCTACACAATGGGCTATCTGTACTGTGCCCACCATGGGTTATCGAAGCTTTGTTTTTAGCATTATAAGCCTTCAGACTTACTGCCAAGCCCCTGGGTGACACATATGATAATGAAATGTATTCCAGTTATTGGCCCCCCAAGGTTGTAGAACTGTATATTCATTTCGTTAGAAATGTTTGATACTAAAGTGATTTTTTTTGTTGCAAATTTGAGGGTTTTATTTCTAGATGAAAACTTCTGGTGCAGAAAAGCTAGGTATTCTTAATTGTGTACTGCTTCAGCTTACTCTTAAAAAACAAATCTTGGGGAATGCAACTAGACTATATTTATGGACCTACTGCACCTTTGGCACTCCAATGCTCTGTGCTACTTCAGTAACCAAATAAAATCCTCCCCAAAAAAATTTATGAAAGAAAAAAACGCCTAATGTGAAATAACTATTATAATGCTATTAAACTGATATTTCTTTCCTAAATACAGTAATGTAACTTTCATAAGTACCTTTATAATCCTGTATAAATTCATAAGCAATGCCACTGTTACCCTAATAATTGTTTGTCACAAAAGTTCATAAGCAATGCTACTGTTACCCTAATAAATGTTTGTCACAAAAGTTCATAAGCAATGCCACTGTTACCCTAATAAATGTTTGTCACCAAAGTTCATAAGCAATGCCACTGTTACCCTAATAATTGTTTGTCACCAAAGTTCATAAGCAATGCCACTGTTACCTTAATAATTGTTTATCACAAAAGTCCATAAGCAATGCCACTGTTACCCTAATAATTGTTTATCACAAAAGTTCGTAAGCAATGCCACTGTTACCCTAATAATTGTTTGTCACCAAAGTTCATAAGCAATGCCACTGTTACCTTAATAATTGTTTATCACACAAGTTTGTAAACAATGCCACTGTTACCCTAATAATTGTTTATCACACAAGTTCGTAAACAATGCCACTGTTACCCTAACAATTGTTTATCACACAAGTTTGTAAACAATGCCACTGTTACCCTAACAATTGTTTATCTTGATGGGCAATCATCCAAAAGTTACTGGTGGTAAATTTTCTACGTTTCATTGTTAATTTTTGCCAGAACATCTTTCTATGCTGGTGAATCATGATCATACAAATAGTAAGCTGGGTGTGACATGATCACCAAGCAATTGTTTTACACCCAAAACTTTGGGAATAATGTGCTCATATACATCCATTTTCTTTTAACAAGACTTTCGGTATGATGTCTTCACAGACTCTTCTTTACACCCACATGTTCACCGAGTGTTTTCTTTACACCAAAAAATTTGGGAATGATTTCCTCACATGTAACCATTTTCCTTGGACAGATGTTTCGTGTGACATCCTGTCAAGTTCTTTTTCTTTATAGCTACAGTTCTAGGTGTCATGTGCTCACATGCAACCATTTTCCTTGGACAAGATTTTTGGTATGACATCCTTTCAAACTCTTTTCTTTATAGCTACAGTTCTAGGTGTCATGTGCTCACGTGCAACTATTTTCCTTGGACAAAACTTTGGGTGTGATAACCTTTACAATTTGATAAAAATGTTCACACCGAATAGTTTGTCAAACATGTGATGGTATAAACAGCATCATGTTTGTCTTATCCCGGCCTACCTGATGAGCCCTGGTACTGAACGAAAAGCCTTGTCGATTCTCGACTGTACAGATGCAGTTTGCATGACACGATTCTCAAATTCCTACCATATATTTGGATTAATGAACTATTTCCTAATTTTATTCATTCATACTTGATGGGAATAACATCTTAAATGGACTATGTGTGTATGTTAATGTCCGGATGTTTATTGAAGTACGACTGACAAGTTTCCTATCGTAACTGGAATTATAGGGTTAACAACTGAATGAAAAATAGAAAAGATGTATGACCCACATATAAGAACAAAAAGAAGCAGGCTTGAGACAGTGATTTGGCAAGATGCCAGTTTGCTTCAACAAGGTGCACCCCTTTACCAGCATACAACTAACTGGTCTAGAAAACAGCACACTTGAGTTCCAACTGACAAAAGGAACGTAATCACTAAAACGACTTAATTCACCAATGCTTCGCTCATATCGACCGACCGTTTTGTGACAAGCGGAGGGATAATTCCTTAAGGCTATACAGATCCTGTCAACACAATACTTGTATCAAACGATGGGCGGAGTGAATGGGTCAGGATCATTTACAGCTGTGATAAAAGGGAGAATGAAAAAGTACAAGACAGAGAGAGAGAGTATGAAAGCGGATCTTATAAGTTTGATACATCTATCATGAACATGTTGAATACCAAAACCGTCTTGAAAGTTTTACGTCACGAAAAACTCGCTTATTGTGCATTGTTTTCTCTCATATCTACAGGTCCTCGAAGTTCTTTTACTGGCCATAAAATCCTTGATTTATATCTTATCATGCGGGTGTAAGTAACAGTTAAAAACATAGATTTTACAAGAGAGTTAATACTATGTATCAACCGAAACTAAAAATTTCAACAACTGAATGTACAGTTTGAAAAGTAATACTTACATCCACAACTAGAAAAAAACTCAATTTAATTATTTGTTTGTTGAATTTCGCGCAAAGCTACTCGAGGGTTACCTGCGCTAGCCGTCCCTAATTTAGCAGTGAAAGACTAGACGGAAAGCAGTTAGTCAACACCAACCACCGCCAACTCTTGGGCTACTCTTTTACCAATGAATACTGGGATTGACCGTCACATTATAGCGCTCCTGCGGCTAAAAGGGCGAGCATGCCAGAATCCGTATGAATAGTTATGGAGAGCTTGTCCCTGCTTACCCCTTGTGCACACCCCTGCGAAATTATGCAAGTAAACTTTAAAACTGCAAGTCACCAGTAATTTATGTCAACGTGGAATATACGTACGGGAAGTCAAAGCTGTAAAAACATTGATTATAGTGTGTAGTTCTCTTTAATCATGTATTCACGTTTCATAAGCGTGAGAGCAAGTCTACATTAGTAAAATTGATAAACCTAATATAGAAGTCGTATTATCAGACGTACACCAAAGAGATGAAATGCTTTATATCAGATCCACGAAGAGCACTGACAAAACAAAAAGGATATTTTAGTTTTAACCAGAACTATAGTAGCTGTAAAAAAAAATAAAAAAAATTCCCCGTTTTTCTGCGCCAGAAGTCATCAAATTATGCGCTTAGTAATCAAGATAAGCCAGATCGAAAAATAAAGATCCGTATCTCTTGGTCTTTTCTATGCTAAACACATTAAACCACGTGTATGATTGTAACTTAAAATATAACTATCTCAAAATGTCCCCCGGTGGTAAGTATACGGAATTACAGCCCTAAAATCAGGGGTTCGATTCACCTCAATGGATACAGCAGATAGCCCGATGTGGCTTTGCTATAACAAAACATACACACTCTCAAAATATAAATCACTTTTTGATGTTAATGAAGTACGAGGTGTTCAGAAATTATGTTAACAATATTGTTTATTTGTATTTCTATAACAAGTCTTGTATCTGTATTGGCACGTCGGGCAATACTAAACGTTGTGGAGGAGGAAGTCGCAAATGAATAACAACTGTCTAACAATGAACAAAAAAAGCTTTAAAATATTATTTAAGAATTTCATACAATAACAAATACTGTATTGTACTACAAAATCGTAAGTCATACAGATAATGTTACACGATCAAGATACACAAAACGGCGTAATATTTAGAACTTGCTAAAGACCTGTAGTATCCTTTCATTTCAGCTGGCAAAGTCATAGAAAAACATTTAAATAAAAAATCGAAGCCAACAAAAATATTGCTGTTAGAATTCCACTAGACCAAGAGAGGTGCGTCGTTGTATGTACGGAAAAATCAAGAGTTTTGTCACTTGCAGAGTACAGCTTGCTGTTAGAATTCCACTAGACCAAGAGAGGTGCGTCGTTGTATGTACGGAAAAATCAAGAGTTTTGTCACTTGCAGAGTACAGCTTGCTGTTAGAATTCCACTAGACCAAGAGAGGTGCGTCGTTGTATGTACGGAAAAATCAAGAGTTATGTCACTTGCAGAGTACAGCTTGTTTGTAGGTAAGCACAAAGCTA